GATAGAATGCGTTAAATTTCGCTATAGATTATTATGCCCAGGTCCACGTTTTCTGTGATTGAATGACTACTAGAAATAATGGATCAACTTTGTCAACCCCCTCCCCCCCCCTTTCGATTCAGTTTCACCCTCGCTAGAATTGTAGCAGCTAACAGACACTAAGAAAACCGGTTTATTAAGCAAATCGCGAAAAAAAGTTTTGCAGAGATATTAATTTGTGTGCAATTTTAACGCCTAGTCTTCAAAGGAAATGTGTTTCTGATTGGACGCGAGTACTGGAACGCAACAAAGGCAGACTCGTCAAATACTACACCAAACTCTTGGAGCAATACTGCCAAAATGAGGTGAGTAACCTAAATGTCAATTGAAATTGCATGCTCTACCTCATTGCAAAAGAGACCTAAATGTGCGTTTTAATCTACGAATAACTTTTCAGCAGTGTAATTAGTAAGCAACCCCCCCCCCATTCAAGACAAAGTTGACATGAAAGATTTTACAAATCATTTTCTCAAAATAACTTTAATCTTAAAGATCATTAAACAATGGGAATCTTATATAGGAAGAAAGTAAGTAAACATTCGGTTTAAAGCTCAATTTGAGAACTCCTAGGAAAGAAAATTTGCCTTGAGAATTATTAAAAGTGCGTTTAGGGACTGAAACCGTGCTCTTATTGATAATTAAACTCGATTCTTGGACTTTTAAGAGGTACGTACATTAGAAGCAAGCTCTCCATGTGCTGAATCGAAGCAAAACATAACCTTCACACAGGTTTCATCTGAGTTGAAGGATTGTGGTCATCGAGACAAGATAAGATGTTGATCTAGATTTTGGCAAAGTTAAATAAGCGCAGTGCAAGGACATACAATCATTGTAAACCTTTTTATCACAGTCTAATGAGCAAATTTCACGAACTGACTTCCAATTTTATAAATGAGTCTAAATCCCTTGAGTTAGAGCATATTAACCGACCAATTTAATTTGGTGATTGGTTGGAGCATCTTGATTATATCCTGAAACAGTCAATGACAATAGCTAACTAGAGTTCTGGTAAAATTAATTCTAAAGAACGGTTACTCAATTGCATCTCCATATTTTGGAATTATTTATGTTTTCTACATCAAAATCCTTTAATATTTTGGAGATTTAATCTAAATTCTAAAGTTTTATGTTGGCCAATCAACAAAAGGGGATTTGATTAGGAGATCATTAATGATTTTAATGTCTTTAACACCTTTTAGAAAAATCCAAACGACTAAAACGTTTAGGAGTGGTTTTCAAAGTACTTGAAGAACACTCCCCGGTAGTTTCAACGACTTTTACAGCACAATCGGTCTCTATTCTGTTTTTTTTGTCAAAAATCTGACATCAAGCAAAAAGCTGTTGCGTCACTTTGATCACCTTTCTCAAGTAGCATTCAGCCGATATGGACCAGGACTTACAGCAGTGAAATTAGCTACAGCTTTTTAAGATAACAGACCTCAAATAGCAATCAAATATGAATAGCACCCGTACGTTATTTTAGCCAATCGGCGACCTCCACGTGGAACAATATCACTGACTGAACAGGATATTAGGGAGCTTCGTGCACCTCTACTTCGTGTACTCATCCAAGCAGTCCATGTAGATCAAGTCCAATCTTGGGTTTTGTTGAGTGCTGAAGAGGTTCAGCGGTATTTGAAATCTGTTGAAGACGAAAGAACGAACATCTTCAAGGAGATCTCTAGAATGGAGTGAGTAATCGAAAATGTTACTTATGCAATAATCACAGTCAATATCCCACTTCTAACATTCTTACATTTCAATTCAGAAAATTGCAAAAAGAAAAGGAAAACTAGCTTAAGAGCCTCCAACAACGAATGACTTCATGGAAAACGAATCGACAAGCTTTTGATCGAGCCATTGGCGACTACAGCACGGAACCACTGGAGGATAAAATGAAAAACTTCACTTCAACTCCTTTTTTCCAAACTCCATGTGGTCGAAAATGACTACTGATCAGGTGGAGATCTTTACGGGATGAATTTAGATGACGCATCGCCAAGTGATACCCAATCTTCTTCCTATTACGGCAAAGTTGCCAAAAAAATTGTCACCTCGCACATGCGATCAAAAGCAAATGGGTTACATTCGTCGGTGAGGTCATAAATCTGGTGCATTTGGAGCGTTAGGACGCGTAAATTCTCAATTCTCAACGTTCAGTCCTCAAGACAGGGATGCTCCAGAAGCACCCAGTCAAAATCGAGTTTACGAACCATACAACGTTACTTACGAGTCTGCTATCAAACCAACTATGGTCTCCAAGCGTCTGATTGTTAACGACATATAATCACAACCTTCAATACGTTCAGTTCTCAAGACAGGGTTGCTGCAGAAGCATCCAGAATTTCCTCTCCCCACATTGGTGAGGGTGGTAGACAGTTCACATTCACAGAACTCAGTAACCCACCTGCTATCACTTCTCAATATTCACCATCTGCAAGGCCCTCAGAGCAGTCTGGTATTCGATGCAATTGTGGAAGTCATCTTGCAGCAGTGAGTACAGGTAGTTCTCCGGTGGAAATCTCTTGCAGTTCTTGTGGTAGGAGAAATTTCGAGATTGTTAGAGAACTGGGAAAAAATCAATATTCACTTGTGATTGTGGACGACATTATGGTGGTATCAGCATGCTTCCCATCAAACTTACATGTCCCTCTTGTAGACCTGTCGTTCCAGTTCTAGTAGACGCGATTTCCATTTAAAGTCCACATTACTTGCGAGGCTGCTGTCAAAAAAACTATGGTCTCCAAGCGTCCGATTGTTAAACATCAACCTGTTGGAATAGAGGCTGGTTGTGAGGTGAATACTTACGAAGTAGACAATTCAATGGACATCAGACTTTCAAGAAATCAACTGTCCCAACTCACAACCGACGATATGACCCCAGACTTGATGGACATTCCAAATCTGCTCAGAAGCTCGCCATCAACGGATCATACCCACTCTGAAGATTCTCATGGAACGCACAGAACTGCAATCAACAGGTGTGCACATAGAAATTCTGGAGTGACCGTGCAACTTATTTGTTACCATTTGCCCATCCCTAAATACCCAGTGAAATGAATCACTGCACTCCAATTATTTCAATGATCAATGTCAAGTTAAGTCTTCAATATATTGAATAGGAATAGAATAGAATAGAATGGTATCGATTTCTATTCTATGATACCTGCATCAGAACTTTTTTCAACTTCAAACCATCTTGAAATTCTTTGGCAAGAATTTCAAATTTGGCAAGAAAGTCTTCACAGGTAATCAGAATACTTCTTCAAATTCTGCCTTCATTATTTGCTAAATCAAGTTTGAAAATCTCTATGCTGTAATTCTCAAACAAATTTCTCCCAGATATGCAATTCCAAATAAGATTACAGCAAGAATTTCTGTTCTTGCAACAATTTCTCTCAACTTTGCTCATCTTTTGTCAGTTTCCACACTCCCCTTTCAGACGGGGTTGGTGCATAAAAAACATCGTTCCTGAAATTATAGCTTGTATTTGTGTGGATCACTGTTCATCTTGTAGCCGATTGCTGCACTAATTAGCCTTCACTTACAAATGGACTGATGACATTTTCATAGTAGCCAACTTGGAAACCACGAAATCAAAGCAAAGTCCTGGAAATTGTCAAACACTGCCTTTAAAGCAAGCCAAAACAGTGAAGGTTTGAATATTTGGGCGTTCTCAGAAATGCTCACAGTTTCTTTACAACAAACTTGCCTCAAATTATTTTATGCTACTTTAAAGTATTCAGTAAGAGCAGACATAATCGAGAAATGCTACGATATCGTAAACAGCAGAATAAAATCAAGTTTTTTCTCTGTTAGAGTTCTCTTTATCGACGCATCAAAAATTTATTGGCACACTACCAGGCGTATATATTCGTGAGTACTGATTTCCAAATCGGCAAGAAAAGTCAACCCGAATTTCAATTGAAGGTAGGAGAAATAGATATTGCTTTCTTCGTTCCGTTTTTCAACGGAGGAGCATTCGAAGCCCAAAATGTATGAGATTACGGCCTGCTGGAGCACAACTAGGGTGGGGGATTGTCTTTATGTGCAGGCCAATTTCGGCCAATAAACATGTTTTATGAGAGATGGTTTGAGAGAGACAATCAATAATTAAGCTGCTGAGGAGTTCAATATAAACGGTTAGACGATGTGTTGAAATGTTAGTCCATCGGTTAACTCAGAGACAATTTGAATGACCAAACCAGCATTGCTATCGATTAGGGTATTAGAGGTTTGGAAATACCAGTTATTTAATTCAGGATGGGAGTTGGAATGCAAGAGAATTTAGAATAGATATATCATTGAATTGTACATGAATGGCAATAATTTTGGTGAAATTTGAAGTCGGGAGTCGAGAACAGAGAAATACCTCAAGGTACAAATCAATTTATTTACTTTAGAATAAACACTAATATCAGTTTGGCTGAGAAGTCCTCTGTACTCACACGACAGCTCATCAATCGAAATGTTTAAGCTGGAATCAGATTTCTAGATTTGATCGTTTTCGAATTGTCGTCTTCATAATGTCAAAAGTGAGAACAACTCATGAGTAAACTTTGGCAAACATTTTGCTCGTCATCAAAATAATTCGCATTTATCTACTTACTATTCTCAATCTGCATTCTACTTATCTAAACCATATCTTCTTCCACACAAAACTCAGTTTTTTTGTGAGCATGTCAATTCAGGTGGTAACATGCAATTATAATATAAACCTTATGACAGAAACACTTATGTATTTGGTAAGGA